AACCTACTTTTTGTCCATGCAAATGCTTATTCTCTTATTTTTTGTATACAATATTTTTCAGTATGTTTACTGTACCCTTTACAAAAGGAAATAGGACAATTTTGCATGTTAAGTCTAATTTAATACCCTTTCCTACAGAAAAAAGAGAAGTTAATCTATTCACCTTGTAAAAAGATGAACAAAACGATATCTCTGTATACAACATTTGTTTCTTTCCCTTTCTTCCTTGGCATGTCATTCTATATTCTGTGAAGCCATGTATTTTATTTTCTCTTTCCTTAACTAAGGGAAACAAAGGGACAGAGATGCACATTACCTGTTTTGTTTGTTGAGGAAAAAAGTTCACTGGCTAATTTCCTCTGACATACAGTGGGGTCTCTACTTAAGAACTTAATCCGTATTGGAAGGTGGTTCTCAAGTGGAAAAGTTCTTATGTAGAATCTGCATTTCCCATAGGAATGCATTGAAAACCATTTAATCCGTATCTGCTCTTTTCCATCCATAGAAACTAATGGGAAGCTGCTATTCCGCCTTCTACCACTAGAGGGGGAAATTTTTTCTTTTTTTTCCCCTTAGGTCAGGGAACAGTGTTAAAAGCACTTCTGACGAAGCTAATTTTGAAGCAATGGACTGAAAACCAATTAATCCGTTCTGGCTGTTTTTTTTTATGTAGAGGTGCGTTCGTACATTGAAGCATTAGTTCCCATAGGAACTAATGCAAAGCTGGTTAATACGTACTCTACCACTAGGGGGAGAACTTTTTTTTTAACCTAAGATGACCTAAGGTTAAAAAAAGAGCAGGAAAGTTTTTTTTCCCTGTTCTTATCTGGATTTTTGTTCTCAAGTAGAAGCAAAATTTAGCAAATGGAGCTGTTCTTAAGTGGAATTGTTCTTAAGTAAGGACGTTCTTAAGTAGAGACCCCACTGTATTAGCCATAGTAGAAAGATTTATCATTACACCATAGTTTTGTTTTTCTCCCAAACCTAATCGTAACTTTCTGTTTAAACACAGATGTTAAAAATGGTAATAAAGATTTTGGTGGACAAAGGATTGGTCTTGGCTTTGGGAACCACATTCAATGAGCCTGCCATGTTGGCAGGTTGTTTGCACTGGGATGTCCACAAAATTTGATGGCATAACTTCAATCTTCAGGGGCTTCATTGAGGGTTTTAAATTCGCCTAAATAATTACAGTCAAGAATAAAAGGTTACATCTTGTTGCTAAGGCATTTGTGTTGGTACTTACACTTAGGTTGTCTTAAATTGCCTTAATTGTTTGCAGAAATATTCAGTCTCTCTGTACTTCCACATTTCCTTTACTGTCTCAGTTGATGACTATCTACAGTGGACCCTCTACTTACGGAATTAATCCGTATTGGAACGGTGGCTGCAGGTCGAAAAGTCTGTAGGTCGAGTCTCCATTGACCTACAATGCATTGAAAACCGATTAATCCCGTAACCTGCCGTTTTTGTTCCATTTTGGTTCCATTTTGGTTTTTCTGCGGTCTGTAGGTCGATTCTCAGGCTGCAAGTCGAATCTAAATTTTTGCTGCCAGAGAAGTCTGTAACTCGAAAAGTCTGTAAGTCAAGCCGTCTGTAAGTCGAGGGTCCACTGTATCTGTTTGTTTCCTCCCTCTTAGAGCTTGGCTAAATGGCCAAACTGGAGTGGCCCAGATTGAGCTAAATAGGGTTGCTTGGGGTTGGATAGAGGCACAATATGCCATTTGGTGCGATCCTTGCATTCAAATGGAATATTGGAGTTCAAGTAACCCTATTTGGTCTGGTTCCTTTTGGTTGGAATCTCCAGTATCATGAAGCGGCTTAATAAGTGAGCCCCTTCAAGATATTGCCAAGTTGAACTCTTCCTCTGTTCCTCAGCAGAGGGGCAGAGGAACTGAAAATGTTTTTAGACTGTAGTAGATTACTGTCAATGTGCTGTATCACTTATAAAAAATTGTTTTTAAAAAATTATTTGCCCTGTCTGAAGGGCTGGTCAAGAAACTACTGGCAACCAGTTAGGCTGTGCGTAGTTTCTCATCCAGCCCCTGTAAAAAAGGTCTCTTACTCAGAGGATTCCTATAGAGGCAAACAACATACATTTGTCATCTTTTCAAACATCTCTGCCCTACATAAATGGGTAGCCGCCTAGAGTGGTCCTGACCCAACCAGATAGGCGGGATATAAATAAAATAAATAAAAATAAATAAATAAAATATAACATTTCATAACAAGTGAATGATTTTTCAGTGCCTTATTTTTAAAATATTTTCTGTACTTTCACCATCCATCCTAATAATAGACATCTATGCAAAGTGTGGTGAAGTGTCTCACTGTTCTGTATGATACCTATCATTTTGCTATGTCTGAATCTTATTTCTGAGTTTGTACTCTCCTTATGTTTAGAAGCTACCTGAAACTAGGTTATCAAGGGCTGACTAATCATCATCATCTTAGAACTGCAGAGCTGGGAATCTATGGATCATCAAGTCTAGCCCCTGTCAAGGAGGCATAGCAGGGAATCGAATTCCCAACTGCTGGCTCTGCAACCAGATGCCTAAACCACTGGACTATCCAGCAATTCTGTTGCACTGCAGTGGTGTCAGCTCAGAGAACAGGTAGATACTGGGTAGTATGCAAAACCTCCACATATCGTTAAACAATGGTTCTGTCTGAAAGAAAGAGAGAACTGAGGCACATAAGCACAAAGAGGGTTAACCTGACAACTGTCTTCTAGGTCAGGGGTCAGGGGACTTTTTTACCTTTTCTCCCTAAAAAAATTATATACTCCGACATTACCCCCTTGATTTGAAAGGAAGGATCTTGGTCCCACGCAGCCAGTCGAGCACCACCGCCAAAGCCTCACTGCCCGGGCCACTGCCGTCTCCGCCTCCTCTGCCGCCTGGCGGAGCCACGCTCAGTCCTTGGCCCTGTGGGGTGGCTCACTTTTTCTGTTGGCGGTTGGCTCCTGGGCGGCTGTTGAAGAGCAGCAGGTGGCTCACCCTCCGAGGGCGCCCGACAACACCTCCCACTCCAGCACCAGTGGCTGCTTGCTGGGGTGGCCGCAGGCCTCGCCGTTGAAGTGCCGTAACAGCTGCTGCATGGAGGGCAAGAGGCTCCGCCAGGCCAGGCTGGCCAGTGTGGAGGCATCACCGAAGGAAGCCATGTGGCCAGGTGAGCACCGCTACTGCCCAACAGGCTCCTCTGGGGATGGGGTGGTGGCCCAGGCCACCGTCATGGCCGCGCCCTCCCCCCTCTGCCACAATCCACCTCTTGAGGCACTGGAAGGAGAGGCTCCTCCTGGCTGGGGCGCTCCAGCCACTCACCCCAGCCTTGCCTTCCGCCATGGCTGGCCCTGCCACTGCCTTGGCTGCTGTACGCCACCAGCCAGGGCCCGTCGCCGGCCATCATCTGCTGTGGTTTGGTTGCAGCCGGGCTGGAGAAGGGGGCGATTGGGCTGCCAGGGACCATCCCTCAGGGCAGAAGGGGAGGAGGAGGAGGAGGGGAGGAGGTTAGGGTCATGTCCTCATAACCCCCAGGATTTTCATTTTTACCCCATTTGGGGTAATTTACCCCTGTTCCCTGACCACTGTTCTAGGTAAATAATTGTTAAAAATAACTGAACTGATGAAAGTAAATTCTTGCATGAACAAAAATATGGAAGGTAATATGTCTGTGGAGGGGAAAATCTCTGGAATTGCTTTGTGAGGAAGAAGTAGATTATTCAGCTCCATAGATAGTAGTTTAGTCATAGGTACCATGTATGACGAAAGATAGTTTAACTAACCAAGGTTCCCCAGTATGATTATGATTTTAAAAATAGCCCTCTCTCTAAGTGCTGCAGTTAGGAGAAAAATCTTATTGGCACTGGTGGCATCTTTTGGGGCAGTGGGGTATTTTAGGATTGTGGCCATGGAAGAAAGGATTAAATTTTTGTGCTGTCACACTTCAATGCCATTGAAAATTAGAATTTCTCTGTGTCTGGCATGAAATGTTTGAAATCCCTATTGTAGTTGCTAGCCAACTATTAATGCAGCATACAGCTTGACCTCTCGTTACATACATGTTTAATGTCTTCCCTATTTTGTACTGCAGAATTTGTAACATGTGGAACAGATATATTCTATATTTTCACTGTATTTGTTGCTCAAATGCTATGTAACAAACACCTATTTGTCAATAATTATTTTTTTCATATAAAAGTCTATATTTTTCAGAAACTTCCATCTATGGTTTTATGATATTTTTGCTATCCAGTAATGTTTTTTCTGAACTATGCTTATCACAAATGCACTGAGATTAGAGACTAGTCCTTTCTCAATATAGATGTGTTATACTGCCTGGACTCCTGGTAACTTGATTTGTTAGGATATATTGGAAGAGAAGAGAGGAAAGAATCAAAAGGAACTTTGTCAGTTTCATTAGTCATAGGTGGGAAGGTAAGTATTGGACTTACATTCCAAAACCCATAAGAAAAACTCTGTGCGTAGGGCAATCATGCAAGTGGCTTCCTTGTTTCCTGAGCTTCCTGTTGTGCTAGCAGCAATGTGATTAGTGATGCAAATAGGGGAAGACCAGGCATATGATGGACATTCTTAGGAACCTGTAACTTTATTTGCACAATTCTTGCTACATGTTGGCATAGAGCAGTGATTCCTAACCTTGGATCCCCAGATGTTCTTGGATTACAACTCCTCAAAATCTTGCCCAGCCTAGCTAGAGATGAAGTTTTAATCAAAGAACATATAGTGGATAGCATAAGTTCCAATCCATATGTTAATTTGGAAGTGTCTTAGTTCTTTTAGCATCCTTAGTGTAGCATACTACAGATCAGTAATACACTTCCAAGATTAAAAATCTCAGATTTTCCAGTGTTAGAAAAATTTGCTGCTAATCTTAAACTTAAGTGCAAGTTTGATAATAACTATGGGGAGAAAGGGGTGGTGGTCAAAATTAAATAAACAAATAAACAAATGAATAAGTAGATAAACCTTTCTCACCAGACCTCTTCTGATGAAGTTTCTGGATGTGAACTGAAATCCTCTATAAAGTCTCTTGGGAACAAGCCGGAAGCAAAATTTCCTGCAATTGACAAAACATCAGTTAAGCAGAAGCAAAAACAAAGCACGTGCTCTAGAAAATCAGAAAGAAATGGATCTGGCCCCCGAAAAGATACTGCGGGTGTGTATGGAAAAAAATATCTCAATCTAATTTGGGTAAAGAAAAATTGTGATTCACAGGATTGGAATCAGCAATCTTTGCAAATTCAAGCGCTTTAGAAGGGAAGATTGGTATTTATAGAGTAAGATTCTTAGGGGAGCAGATAGGATGGGAGTTCAAACAGATTCAATAAGGCAGCCAAACCCAGATGATTCACCAAGGAGATCAGCATTCTCACAGTGAGTAATAGGCTGAACTTGATGCAACAGAAAGCAAAAAAAGCTTGATTGAAAACCACTGTGAATTGTGCAATGTACAGTAGTTATGAATGTAGTGCATACTCCACAGACTGAACCTTCAGGTGAGATGGCGAAATTGTGTACAGTCCCATCTCAACTGCAGAGGTGATCAGGCAGACAGTCTTAAGAAATACCTCTTTGGTTTATGAGGATTGCTGGTTGGTAGGTAGTTACTTATTCCTAATTATCCTAGAATATTGTCCTTCTCTGACAAGGTGCCTGAGCAGGTCATATCCAGGCCACTCTGTCTTGGATAAAACAGATTGTTTGTATGCGCTGTCATTCTGTTTCAGGCTAGAATGTTATGCTTAAATAGCTGCGGCTGTCCTGATAAATCTATGCCAGGAGAATAATGCAGGGCAGGTGAAGGAAGTATGGTCCCAATAATTTTTTGGAGTCTTTATTGGTTTCTGGTATCATCTGCCATGGTATTATTATAGGATGGTGATTGCAACACTGTGCTTCAGTTCTTCTGTTCTGATTTATATGGCTGTTTTCCAGCATTTGTGGAAAACTATTACATTGTCCTATAGCAGCTAGGATATCCATAGGGCTCTGTCTTGTCAACCTGTAATCACACATTTAAATTAAGCAAATAAATGAATTAATCTGGTGACTTGAGGTGACATCTCATTAATATGCTGATGACTCAGGTGTCTACTTCCTTCATCAAATACAGGTGAAGACCTAAAACCATTTTAGAAGTACTGCCTGGGATTGGTAAAGGATTGCAAAAGGGCACACTGAAGCACAATTCCAATATAATAGAGCTTTAATTTGTCTGACTAGGAAGTGGTGTTCAACCTTTTAGAAATGAATTTGACTCCTTCTGAAGGAGCAGATTTGCAATCTCAAAGTCTTATTAAGATTCGGTTTCCTCTATAACATGAAACACTTTTCACTATATGGGCTGACGTACCAGCTACAGCTCCTTCAGGGCAGAGATTATCTGAGTACATTTTCTCATGCCCCAGAATGTCTTGTTCAGGCAGCTGCAATGCATTGTATGTGAAGTTAATTTTGAAGACTCTGTAGAAACTGCAGTTGGTTCAGAACATTCAGAAGCAAAGTCAGAGACTATACACTTAAATATGCAGGGAGAGTGCATTCAAGACAGGGTGATTTGCATTCCAAGGTTTGCAGTTTTTCTGAGAATACCTTTTTCTTGCCTGCATTACACCTCCATTTAACAATAACAAATATAAGTGTTGGTCTCTTCCTTTGTGACCAAATATACATGTACCCTAAACAGTGACAAGACACATGCTATTATTTCACCTGCCATATTAAGGTATCTTCCCCACCTCCTTGCCTTTCTTTTTTAAATTATTGCCTCCTTGCCCTTCTTTTTTAAATTATTGCCCTGTGAGAAGATACAATTCTAAAATATAGATGTAATATTCTCACAAGTTCACATAGCAGTTAAAAAACCTTAATATGTTATGGAATGTTCCTTAATTTTTGTGCCATATAAACTTCAAACAATTGTGTCACACATTGTACGCTCTTATAATGTAGTTTCCATGGGTTTTGAAAACTAACATTTTCGTAAACAACATTTAAACAGTTTTCCAGAAGCCAATTTTAGCAAGAAGGCGGATGAACCAGAGAAGTTTCCCAGAACACTCAGACTTGGAAAATATTAGAAAAGTCGAAGGAAGAGGGAGGAAGACACCTGTACTGCAGGGGATAACAAAGATTGCTAGAGAGTTTGGTAGGAAACATTTTAAAATTGCGTTGATTTTCTTGGTGCTACTTGTACAGTAGAAGTCATCCTTTCAGATTTCCATCTAGACTCCATTGCAGGCCTTTACATACAGATGTTCTCATTGTTGCTGATGACTTCAATGAAGAGAAGATATGTACACACATGCAGCTGTGTGCATGCACATGTGCACACACAGACATATGTACATACAGTGCACTCTCCATTTGAGGTACTCACTGAAGCCAGATTTCTGATCTTCAACTGGATCAGACTGATCTGAAGTGCATGCAAAGGGAATCCATAATGTATGCATAAAGGAGAACATGACATCCTTTCATGCAATCAGGTTCAGAATATAATCACTACTTTGACTTAATGAAACAAAATATAATGATAAGGAAAATTGGTAATTTTTAATATTAAAAGATTTCCGGTTCGTTTCCCGTTTCCTGTGGCCCCCATGGCTTCAGATAATGAAATAATTTCAGGGAGCTTTGGGAGCTGCAGACAGAAATAGAGTTTAATTTTGTAAGACCAGGAGTGAGAGAGACCCCTCTCACGGGAGTGCCGTCCCTCCTGCCAACCGCTGAGAAAGAAAGTCAAACCCTGCCAGTTCCCCCACATAGGAAGACAAGACCTCCTGGACCTGACCCGGGGAGCACAGAGAAAGATTTAAAAGAACTAACGGTCACAGAAACTGGGACTATCTTGGCAGGCGTGGGAGAAAAGGGGTGGGAGGTGGTAGAGGCGGGGTTAGGGGGATATAAAAAGAGGGGGGGGATGAGAGTTGCCTGCAGGCTGGAAGTGGATTTGGGTTGAAGATTCCTGGACAGGGAAGATAGAGAAACTGAGAATCCCTAAAGAACAGGCAGATGTCTGGAGAGGGAGAGAGCTCAACCCTAAACCATCATACTGGGGTGAAAAAGAGACCAAAGAGTGGCAGAGGAAGTTAAGAGAGGAGAGGGAGAGAGTGGAAAGAGAACACCGGGAGAGATTGGAATGGAGGATATGGGAGACGCAACAGAGGGGATTCCTGGAACCTTGTGGCAGACGGGGGAACCCACCTGGGTGTGTGACTGGGTGGACCTTCCAGAGGAGGACACCATGCCCTTGTTGGAAGGAGAAAAGGGACTACTTTTGAATCCCGGTACCCCACCTGAGTGGCCGGGGCCCTGGAATAACCAGAGTGGAAACCCTTTCAAGTTAGAAGAATGGAACCCCCCAGCAGACCTGTTGTCAAAAGGGGAGAAAGTTTGGAATACGTTTGTAGATACTGGACTCTTGTTAAATAACCCAATAAATGTTACCCCTATTTCCACACCAAAGAGATCTGGTGAGTTATTTGGGATAGAGGAGGAGCCGACCATTGAACCCTCACAAATTTCTAAAAGAATCACCCTGGTGATGGCATCATCATCTTTACACTGGTATAGTTGCATAAACAGGATTTCACCCTCTGCTTCCTTCCCTGAAGCAGCGTTTAGCTAGATTCACTTTAAAAAAACAAGGAAATTGCAAGCTATTTTATTGCTACTCCCCCTATACACACAATGCAAAGTAACTATTGCACTTTTGGTATTGAAATATAATTCTGCAGAATATCATGCACAGAGTAACAGATTCACAATATTTATATTTGGATGGGTCACTATTGTATTTTACCAGCAGAAGCATTGCATTGTGATGATACTATTTTGTACATTTTAAAGCTGTTCTGAAAATGCTAATGGAAAACCAGGGTAGAAATGCCTTAAATGAATAATAAAATGCAATGGCAAGGCTCACGGTCCTGCATCATGTTAACAAAAATGTATGCTTACTTATTTTGATGCCACAGCTATTTAGTTGGTAATTTACTAAAATTACTTAGGGACAGTGGAGAACTTAACACCAGTGTCTTTCCCTTTTAACTGGAATAACATAAGAATCCCTAACTAATCATGTGGAAGAAGCCCACACTGCACCTCTGTCCTGTGCCAGCATGAAAATGGTTTTAAAATACTGTATTGGTTTTAATTGGAAGAAGAAATGCAGCATGGGCCTCTCCTCCATAATCCATAGTTTATTATTTTACTGTGGCGATATGCAAAAGAATGGCACTGTTATGATCCCCACATCACTGAACTAATACAAGTACCCACCCTAAGGGTGTGACAGATAGTAATTTTTCAGTGACTTGGAGTATAGTATGGAAAAATAATCCCTGTATTGTATGCTTTTTTTGTTTTCTGGTTTCAATTCATATATGTCTCTTTAAAGTTAATCTGCTCATTTTCCACTGGATTAAACCGAATCTTATTTGTTTTATAAAAAAAGTAATTCTTAAATATTGGCCAGAATGCTATTGGTTATTTATGCCAGTTGTAAGTGCAGTGGTGTAAACAGCACAAAAAGTTGCCTCTAGTTAATTGCATTCTTTGTTGCACATTAACTCACATAACTAGATTGCAACAAAAAAATACAAGTGGCAGTTTATTAAATACTGGCAGTTTGCCACTGTAATTTATGCCATGGCACTTAGACTGACATAAATAACCAGTAGAATTCTGGCCATTGTCACTGGTTTGGAAGATGATATTGGAAATGGATTAATGATATAAAAGTGACTTTGTCCTTGAATATTAAATATGTGTGGAAATTTTTTTCAAAAAGCTTTCCATCCCATTTCTCAGAGTCCTAATGAGTCAGCAGGATAAGAGGAAGCCTCATCTCAGTTCTTGTCATGATAAAGCTGGAGGACAGTATGGCAAATGGTGAAAAGTTTCAGAGACCAGTGGAGAGAGGGAGGATATAAGATGAGGAGCTATGCAAACCCTTGTAGATCTGGGAAATAAATTGATTGGTGATGCTTCTTCCAGCAGTGCTTTTTAATAGGTGCTTAGGAAGTTGGCAGTAAGCATATACATTCTTAAGGCAAATTTTGTTCTCAATACAGACTCTCAAGATGCCATGGAACAAAAAATTAACCATGCTCCAAAGGCTAAGAAGAAATCACAAGAAAAAAGAAACCTAAACCAGTCCTCTAAACTAAGCATTGATAGCAAACGCTTAGACAAGAATCTCAAAAAGGGAAGTGTTCTGACAACAGTACATCAGCCCCCAACAAATTCAATGGATTCTACTGTTCAGGTTGCTAATATTCCTTCCATATCAACGGAGTCAAACAATTCAAATCTTCCACCCATTAAAAATACCTCTTTGAGGCCCCAAGAAGATGATTTTTGTGCAATGTTATGCTCGCATGTGGAAGATTCCCCTGGAGAGAATGAAGACACAAAAGATTTTGTCCCCTTAGAAGAAGAGCTTCTGTCTGTTGATTTCAGCAAGCCTCCTCCTCTTGACCAAAATAGCAGGGTTGGTGGAACATCTTCAATACAGTCAGCTCAATATAACTGTGAAATAGGAGTTGGGGGTGATGGAAGAAGGTCTGAACTTCCCCACAGATTGCTACGGCCATATAATGTAACAGGAGATCCAGCTAATGAACAGTCTACAGCAGGGCAAAGAAAGACAAGAGATCAAAGAAAACCTTACATTTTTGAAGAAAACTTTTTGGAAGAGTCTCATAAAAGTGAAGGTGAACATACAGCACTTAGAGTAAAAAGCCCACATGCCGAGAGCAGGCCAGGAAGCACAACAGTTGATGAGGCTGTTAATAATTTAAACTGTACTGAAGACTGGCCAGGGAGCAATGCCTTTGGCAGAGAAAGACAGGGTTTTGAAAGCAATCAGAGATGTTATGCTGGTTCAAGCAGGCCCACAATTCAGAGACCTATGCGTTCTGCATTTAATCTCCCAGCGTCCTTAGTTCAACCTGCAAACAGAACTGAGGCTACAGGCAATGCTGATGTTGCTGCTGCAGCTTCTGGGCAAGTCACAGAACTTAGCGGGAGTCCGAGGTTCATTTCTCGCAGGCAGCTATCCCCTTTAAGAATCAGGGATTCTTTCTCAGCTACTGAAAGTTGTCAGTCTTCATCATCCACTATTAGCACCTTTGAGGATAGTAGCTTGCTTGAGGATAGCATAAGCAACGGTCTAAGCAGTGTTTCACCAAGTACCACTTCTCATGATGAAGACAACTTTCTGAATTCCCATAGCTCCTCTTCCTCCACAGATTCTTCCCACCAGTCTCTTTTCCGGGCAAACTTTACAGCACACCTTCACATGACTGGCCCTCTGCCTGATCAAGTGCCAATTTTCCTGACGGTGTCTGATCTGCGAAATCAGAGCACCTTTGTGAGCAGCACAACTTCCTGCAATTCCCCCAGTGCAAAGGAGATTAATAAGCCTGAGACGGACCCTGAGAAACTAAAAAAATTGCAAGAAAGGTGAGTAGTGGACAAGAGGTAAGAAAACCATCACAAACTGGCCTTTAAAATAAAGGCAAATATTATAGGGAAATATATTAAAGGCATCTTCAGGCAGTCTCAGATTGGTTTGTTGTTCTTGCCATGTCCCATCCCACTTATGGCACCCGACAATTAAATGATCTCCAAAATGTTCTACCATTAACAATCCTGCTCAGCTCTTGCAAACACAAGGTTGCAACTTGACACAGTGGAGTCTCGACCTACGGACTTAATCTGTATTGGAATTGTGTCCGTAGGTCGAAAATGCATTCCCCATAGGAATGCATTGAAAACCCATTAATCCGTTCCAGGCCTTTCTCCCCCACCAGGCAGCTTCTCCGCTGCTGAAACCGCCATCGGGCCAACCCTTTGGGAGAAGCCGGATGGCGGGGAAGAAAGGCAGGAGCCGATCCGGTCTTTCTCCCCCACGGCAAGGCTTCTCCCAAAGCGCTGCGCCCGATGGAGGTTTCAGCAGCGGAGAAGCCTCGCGGTGGGGGAGAAAGACTAATCGGCTCCTGTCTTTCTTCCCCGCTGCCCAGCTTCTCCCAAAGGGCTGGCCCGATGGTGGTTTCAGCAGCTGCCCAATTACTCACCTTTCTTCATCCTCCAAAACAGCAATAGCCATTGAAATGAAAACAATATAGGCCCATCTGTTTTCTCTTCTGTGGTTAATAGCCATTCCAAGTAGTGATTGAGATCTCATTTAGGGCTCTTACAAGAGAAAAGGGTGGGAAATTAAATGAAGCTGGAACAGTCAGATTTCCTTATGTGTTTATCTGTAGCTGAACTGTATTTAAATCAGATATTCTGCTTTTGAATTAAAATGTTTACAAGCAAAAAATACGTAGAAGTAAAAGAGCTTCGGGTCTCCAGTGCCAAATCTTTTTTTTTCCAGATTGCCTATACATATATTTTAAAAAGAGGTATTGTGGGCTTCTGAGATGGATACCACAGCTCTTAAGGGTCCACAACTGATTCTTCTGCTTTAAGACTCAACAGGCAGCATAGGAAGTCACAACTAGAGTAGGCCCACTGAATCAGCAGGGATTTGGTGAACAGATTTCTCTGTAAGCTCCATTGATTGAATGAGCCTACTGGAGTTGCGACTAACTGTACTAAACAATAGGATTTCATCCACTGTATTCACGAGGACAAAAATTGAAAGGCTAAATAGGAAAGCTTTCAGAATTCTTGGAGCAGCTTTTGGAGTTCATATCAAACTCTCTTAGACTGAGACTGAATTATTACTTAGATCTATGGAATTTTTAAAAACTACATGCTTTTAATGCCTAGAGGCTCTTCTTTGATCCATAATGATGTTTAATCATTGACCATAGACTGCCTTCTGATTTACCATACATACTTTATCTGAACAGCAAAGAAGGAAACAGAAGCATCCTTTATAGAGCTCTTTTCCTTTGAAGACTTGCCAAAATTTGACCATCCTGAAGGCACAGAAAGGTGCTTTGTTTTATTTTTAATCTGGATTTACTTTGGAGGACCAGAATTAAGATAGTGAAAGTCTGGGGGGTGGTGAGTACATGCATGTCTCATGCGTGCATGTGTGTTTCACCTTCCTTAACTATTTTTTAAATAATATTGCATCTCCATGCCATTTTAATATACAAATTGTATATCTATACAGGCAGAATATGGATACTGAGGGCCTCATTATGAATGTGCTTATTTCATTTGAGGTTTGGAAACAAATACAGTTCCCCCCCCCCAACAAAGTAAGTCAAATAGCTAATTGGTTTAGCATCTGGCTGTGGAGCCAGAATTTGGGAATTCGATTCCCCACTATGGCTCCTTGATGGCTAGACTTCATGATTCACAGGGTGCCTTGATATTAGGAAAAGTGGAGACTTTGGAGGGTTTATATACAGTAGGTGGACATGGAAAGAGAGATAAGAAATGTGTACATACAGGCGAAATGACAACTATGTGGAATACTGCTCTGCGCTGTCTTAATTAGATTTGAACATAGCAAAAGAATAATATCCTCCACTTTGCCAATTAAATATAAGATTGGTACAATCTGGAATAATGTGCAAGAGAGTAGTAATAGCTCTGCTGTTTTCTCCTACTCTCTGTATTTTAACAGTTTTCAAGTGCTTTTGAAGCCTATCCTTTAAAAGGACTTGAAAACTTTCTTCAGACCATTTACATGTTTTGTAATTTTGGATCCTTCCTAATTCTGACGTTATCTCTAGTCTCCTGGCAGAAGACTCTGAAGAGGAAGGAGATCAATGTCGGATATGTCAGATTGCTGGAGGATCTATAACCAATCCCCTGCTAGAACCATGTGGATGTGGTGGGTCACTTCGATTTGTCCATCAGGAATGTCTTAAAACCTGGTTAAAGGCAAAGATAAAATCAGGTATGTTTGCAGGTTCAGGAAGAGAAGGAATATGAGGGTGTAATTCATTTCAGAAATTCTGTCATGATAAAGAGTGGCTCAAGTACATTGTTGACATCAACAAGAAAACATTTCTAAAATGACTAGATTTTATAAGTGATTTTCTGCTGTTGTCAACAGTGTGCCTTGGCCATTCCCTATTATGATGATATTTCTCCAATTTTATTAGACTTCAGGAACATTTCAAGATTCAATAGTCCACTTTTTATTTCAGTATAAAAACTGATAGAAATGTGATTGTTATTATTTTTTTGCTTGGCCCTAAATTAAACTGCTAATTGAGAGCAATATGCATGTCAAAAAAGTCCTCCTGTAACTCGCATGAAACAAATTGTTGTAGGATGTTTTTTTTTTTTAATTATTGCAAAAATAATAAATGATATTTCAAACTCAGGCTGTACTCATTAATTTCAGAGCAAGCTACGCTGAACTTAATGAGACTTACATACTAATAGAAAGCTACTGGATTACACAGATAGATAGATATCACAATCAACATATCCAGCCTCTATGAAAATCAAAGTGGAAAAGGCCATAATTGCTTTATATGTTGAAAAGAAAAACAAGAGAAAGGACATAAGTGGACTTGTAAAAGCCCACTGAGCTTAGAGTTTGGTTGAGACAGGGAGTTTGCTTGGGGCAAAGAGCAATGCCTTTCTGTGTGCCAGAGATGGGGATGAATCACAGGACTCCTTGTCAAGTCGGACTTAAGTCACACCGGTGAGTCAACTCACATTTGACTCAGGGTTTCTTTCAACAACTTAAACTCAAGTCATGACTTGGAACCCACAACCCCTCCGTTTTTGGGGGGGTGTGGTTAAAAAGATTGTTTTTAATAGGGACTCAGGCTTAGGATTCAGAACTTGGTGCCAAAGGCTCGGACTTGGTACTAAAGACTCTGATTCAGACCCAAAGACTTGCCGAAATCTCTGCTAGACACATCTGCTCTGCTGACCACAGAGAGCTAAATTTAGTGGCCGTGATCATTAAGGAAAACAGGTTCTTGCCTATGTCAAATCAAATGTGAGCAATCATTTTTTGATTGTACCTGTGCAGAAGATGCTGTCTCAAAGAGTCTACCATAAGAACACATGCAAAAAGCATCTGCCAAGTGGCTGTATCTATATCAGTTGGTAGGAGCAAGTTTCAAAAAGCAGTCAAAGTGGTATTCAGCAACAGCTAAAGCCGATATCTCCCCCCGAAAAATGAATATAGAAAACCAGACCAGGAGATATTTCCTAACTAGAGTATTTCTGTTTGTTTGTTTGTCTGTCTGTCTGTCTGTCTGTCTGTCTGTTTGTTTGTTGTTAATAATATAGTTCCTTCCACCTGCTTTCCTCACTGATGCCATGCTTCACAGTTGTAGGGCAGTCACACTGGAGAAGAGTGGCAGCTCACAGAGTCAAACTGGAAATATTGGGAAAAACAGGAATTCCTTAAGTTTGCCCTGAGGCAGTTTTTTTTTTCTTACACCCTATAGCTTACAGAGCTGGCTGGATAGTTCAGTGGTTTAGGAGCCATATCTTGGGAGTTTGATTCCCCACTGTGCTTGCTGTAAGTAGAACCAGTCTGTGTGTTTTGAGCAAACTGTATAGTCCTAGGGTGCCCCCAGAAGAAGGCAATGGTAAACCACCTCTGAGTATTCTCTATGTGGAAAATCCTGAAAAGGGTCACCATTAGTCAAAATTTACTTGATGGTGTATCAAAATTCTAAAAACTTTGACTGGTGTTATATAACAGGTACAAGTTAAATATCAACATAGTATATATTCTGTTCCTAATACTGCTGTTTTTTATAGCTCTGATGATGTTATTTCTGGAATCTGCAACTGGTTATAATACTGTGTGAAATTTCTTGATATTATTCTCTAAGCCCCAAAGTCAATGGGGACCACTGATTTATGTTTTATCCACAAGTGAGATATTTCAGTTGTCAGGCCTCTGTATTTCCCCCCCCCCCCATTCATTAGCTTCAGTTCTAGCATCACCTGGAATTGCAATGTCAATTATCCAGACATTTCTTCATTCTATTACTACTATGTCTGATGTGTTATATTCAAAGCATCTTATCAATTTGGATCTGGAAATCCCACAAGATTTTGACTTCATCATTTTCTGACACCTTCTCTACCTGATGTTCTCATGGGCTTTTGGAGGCTGGCAGTTTATATTTTTTGGCATAATGACCAGTGCACTAATTTTGCCTCTCTGTCATGTCTAATTTTGTAATCATTTTGTGCAGTCTTCACAGATGATATGTGACACAGTTTCCTCTTTTTCTTGGCAGAGTCAACATTTGCTGTTAGCACTAATTCCTTGAATCTTAGCTTTCTTCATATTGGTTTGGAGTGCTTTTTCTTATGTAGCAAAAATTAAACCTTCAATTTGTTCTTAATGGTCCCCAGTTTTAGTCATGCTCATGTTGAATTATTGTCATGCCTTTCATTGTTATTGTTATTATTATTCAAGAATATCAGACACAGTCAATCAAAATTATAAAAACATTGGTATTATATAACATACAAGTTTTAACCAAAAACCTAAGTATCTGTTAAATATACAGATACACTTAATGTATGTTGTTCCTAATGTTGCTGGTTTTTTTTTTTTAGTCTGATGGTGTTATTTCTGAGATCTGCAACTGCTTGTAATACTGTGTGAAAAGTCTTGATATTGTTCCCAAATCCCCAATGACTATGGGGACCACTGAAGTGTGTTTCATCCACAAGTGAGATGTTTCGATTGCCAGGGCTCTGTATTTTGTTAGTTTTTTCAATTCTTTATTTTCAACTCTGCCATCCCCCAGAATTGCAATGTCAATTATCCAGATATTTCTTCGTTCTACTGTGTCTGGTGTGTTATGTTCAAGGTGTCTATCAGTTTGGATCTGGAAATCCCACAAGATTTTGACTTCATCATTTTCTGACACCTTCTCTACCTGATGTTCTCATGGCCTTTTGGAGGCTGGCAGTTTATATTTTTTGGCATAATGACCAGTGCACTAATTTTGCCTCTCTGTCATGTCTAATTTTGTAATCATTTTGTGCAGTCTTCACAGATGATATGTGACACAGTTTCCTCTTTTTCTTGGCAGAGTCAACATTTGCTGTTAGCACTAATTCCTTGAATCTTAGCTTTCTTCATATTGGTTTGGAGTGCTTTTTCTTATGTAGCAAAAATTAAACCTTCAATTTGTTTCTTAATGGTCCCCAGTTTTAGTCATGCTCATGTTGAATTATTGTCATGCCTTTCATTGTTATTGTTATTATTATTCAAGAATATCAGACACAGTCAATCAAAATTATAAAAACATTGGTATTATATAACATACAAGTTTTAACCAAAAACCTAAGTATCTGTTAAATATACAGATACGCTTAATGTATGTTGTTCCTAATGTTGCTGTTTTTTTTTTTTAGTCTGATGGTGTTATTTCTGAGATCTGCAACTGCTTGTAATACTGTGTGAAAAGTCTTGATATTGTTCCCAAATCCCCAATGACTATGGGGACCACTGAAGTGTGTTTCATCCACAAGTGAGATGTTTCGATTGCCAGGGCTCTGTATTTTGTTAGTTTTTTCAATTCTTTATTTTCAACTCTGCCATCCCCCAGAATTGCAATGTCAATTATCCAGATATTTCTTCGTTCTACTGTGTCTGGTGTGTTATGTTCAAGGTGTCTATCAGTTTGGATCTGGAAATCCCACAAGATCTTGACTTCCTCATTTTCTGACACCTTTTTTGCGTACTGACCAGTGCAGTAATGTTGTCACTCTATCATGTCTAATGTTGTAATCTGTTTGTGTAATCTTTGGACATTCACAGATGAGGTGTGACACAGTTTTCTCTTTTTCTTGGCAGAGTTGACATTTGCTGTTTGTACTAATTCTTTGGATCTTATCTTTCTTCATGTTGGATTGGAGTGCTTGTTCTTGTGCAGCAAAAATCAAGCCTTCGGTTTCTTTCTTATGGGTTCCCTGTTTTATCTACCCCATGTTGAATTATGATCATGTTTTCGATCAATATTTCTCAGGTATAGTCCACGTAGTGGTTCATTTTTCCAGCTGTTTAATTTATTTCAAATTGTTTTTCTTACATTGAGCCTTTGTCTCTGTTGTTTTCAAAATATTCTCCACTTTCACCACCTTAAATGATTTTTCTCTGCTTGTACTGATATAATAATTCAGGCTTCTTTTTTCCTCCTCTGCTACCTGCTATATTTGCAGTAATCCATGGCCTCCAATTTTTCATGGTAAATGTAACCTGTCCACATCACTTTTTGGATGTAGTATTGATGAATGTTCATTAGTTTCCATGTTTTCTGATCTGAATCTACTAATTTGTTTTGAGTTCAGTCTGTTATTCCAGCTGGGTATCTAATTACTGGAATTGCCCATGTGTTTATGGCTTTGGTTGTACTTTCACCATTTAATTTTGATGTTAAGTTTTTTCCTAGTCTTTTGATATATTCCCTTTCTGTCAGTTCCTTAACTTTTGTGTGCACAATGTTATCTGCTTCTAGCATTCTAAGATATTTATAATTTTCATCATTTGATAGTGATTTTATAATACTGCCATTTTTTTTACTCTATTCCATCTAGTTTTCGGATCTTGCCATGGTGTATAGACAGAGCTACACATTTGTCAATTGCAAATTTCATTTGGATATCTTTACTAAATATTTGCACTGTGTTTAGCAGTGATTCTATCTCCATTAAAATTTTGGCATATAGTTTTAGGTCATCCATATATAAGAGCTGATTGATTTTTTCAGTTTGTTGTGAAATGTGGTAGCCCAATCCAGTTTTATTTAAGATTATTGACATGGGGATTAGTGAGATGTTAATCAGCAGTGATGGCAATGAATCCCATTGAAATATTCCTCTTTTGATGCTAACTTTTGCAATTTCTTCCCCATGGGCCATTAAGACAGTTTTCCATTTTTCTATGTTTTTCTTGAGGAACTTCTGAATGTTTTTACTAATCCCAAAAATGTTTAGGCAGGTGTTAATTCGGCTGTGTAGCAATGAGTCAAATACCTTTAATAGTCTATCTAGGCCATGTTAAGGTTTGTTTTCCATCTTTTTGCATTCTTCAGTATCATTTTATCAATAAGCAGCTGATATTTCATACCTCTTGACTTTTTAAAGTTCTCTTTCTGTTCAATTGGGTAAAGGGAATTTTCAGTTTATTAATCATATATTGGTCTTGCCAGTACTACTGTGAAGAGCTTGAACATTGTAGGCAGGCATGTAATTGGTTGATAATTATTGGGTTCATTGCCCTTTTGATGATCTTTTATTATCAGAAATGTGTAGCCTGTTGTCATCCAATCTTCAGTTGTAGAATTTTGGAATAAGTCATTAAATTTCACTGCTGTACGTTGATGGAGACTTGTTAGATGCTTTAACCAAAATCCATGCAGCTCATCTTGACCAGGTGCACTCCAATTATTTTCACAGCCTTTACTTTCCTCTTAACCATGTCAGTTGTTATTCCAATATCATCCATTTGTTTTCCTTGAGTTTCTTTACAAATGTCTTTAATCCATGAGCCGACTTTGTTATGGCCTTCTTGTTGAGCTTTTCCACATTTCTTTCCAAAATTTTAGAGCATCATGTTAACATGGACCTAATTTCTTTTGCTCTGCGCTTTCTCTTAGTGATGTATAGAACAATAGTTAGTTATTTCAAAATTGCATGTTTTCTCTACATTGTTTCAAGCATCTGTGATAGCTTTCAATTTTCTTTGCTGTAGCTGTTACACACTTTTAATTCTTCCATGGTTTCAACTATTTTCCTTTCTAGGTCATATATTTTGTATAGTCTTGCTTTTACTTCTTCATTTTTAAGTTTTGAATCTTTCAAGTGTTTTAAGTTACTAATGTCTGCACAGAATTTATTTTTTTTCCCCAGCCAAATTTTCCATTTTAGAGTGCCATGAGTTTTCCAGGTTTTTTGCAACTTGTAACCAAGGTCCATTGTTATTATGGTAATGCTATACATGGCATGATTTGTTTCCCTTAGTGTGTTTGTTGGGATTGTTCTGATGACTACATTTGCATCACTCAGTACTGTAGATCTTTTACTGGTTTACTTTGTAACTGGCGCAAATTGGGATCCTTTGCCTTTCTAGTGTTCTGGCTAATATGGTTTACTATTTTTTCTCTCAGCGGTGTTTGTCATTCTGTCAACTCATAATTTCTGGGTTGTTCCATAAGTTGTTCATCTACTTATATGTTTTCTTCCACTACTGTGTCTACCTCTACCCTCCTTTTTTCCTCCATACTATGGTAATTGTTCTGTGTTGATATTTCTTTTACCACCTTTTCTAGTTCTTGCATTTCCAGTTCTGAAAACACTGTACTAATGATAAATCTTCTCTGGTCCATTAATCATTGCTCAGTTATGTCACTACTTGGATGTTTCCTTTTCTAAATTTCCATCATTCTTTTTTGAAAACTACGGGCTGTTGGGTTTGCCTCATAATAACATTTCATAATTTCTCAATTTTCAATGAGAGTCCAAGTTTTGCATTTATGTCGTTCCATTAGCTTTGCAGCAGCCTGTCCTGCTTCCTCAACAGGGCTTGCTGAGCTTTGTAGCCCATTTGTCACCAGATGCCATGGGGCTATAGCATCTGACGTGGTCCTTGTTGACCCAGGTGATGACCGATCCAGTATGGATTTCTGTTTATTTCCTCTCCTCATAATTGAGGGTTGGTGGACACCATTGGTTTCTCAATAAGGCCTGTGTCCATGGAGGGGATGATGATGACTTACAAATTAACTTAATTTGTTCTGTTATTGGTCATTGGGAGGTAAAGATAGGCTTTGTTTTGCAAGCCTGATTATTCTGCCCAAACAGCTAAAGGAATATAATGTACATCCAGCTTCTAGTGAAACATTTAAGATTGTCTAGTTTGGTCCTCAAATTCTTCTTTTCAAGAAAGAAGATATGTGTTTCTCTTATGAGATACTTCTTTTAAGGTGCAATGCTTGACTGTGGTAGGAATGAAAGAGCAACACCAAGGCTTAGTCTCTGATGTAGAAACACAGTAGTGATGATTGGCTGCTCCAGATCTCCCCTTTTAAGTGAAAGCTTCATTGGAACAATTCTGCATGTTGACATAGCTCTGATCTGAATGACATTCTAGGGGGAAAGGTGTGTGTGTGTCAATGTTTCATGTTAAAAGAAAAAATACAAAAAAACAACAACCTTGAACCACTTTGTCTAATTCAGTCAGTCAATGAAAACGTATTAATCCATCAGTCAGTAATATAAAGCAAGAAACAGGCTGGTGGAAAATATATGATATGCAATATCAGAAACATTTTGAATTGCCAGACATATCATATTAGTAACAATGTTTAATAATTTGGCTGCTAATAAAGCCACGTTAATGTTTCTCTCATCAAATTTTAAAGAGAACAGAAATTAATCAAGTCTATCAAAAAGTGTCTTAAGTGAAACAGAGAGTGTTCAGATATGTAATATTTATCACCCGATTGATTGCCAGGGTTAATCCGGCTGAATCTGATGTCCCCTTCCTTCCTCAACACTCCATTTGTGTCGTTTCTGAAGAGGATGGCTGTCCCAGACTAAAGTGTGCCATTCTTTGGTCAAAGATATATGATAGCTGCATTTGTCTGCTAGAACCTCCAAACAAGCAAATATGTTTCTACAAAAATCTATAAATATATACAAATTGTGGTAAAGTAGTTTGTGTGCAAGAGATAAAACCCACCTTTAAAGCTGCCTTTTATATTCATAGATGGCACACCTCACCAGAAAAAGAAAAGATCACCACAGATAATCTCAAATGGGTACCATTGTAATTTAGGTTTGTGTACACAAATGAAAGAACAAACTAAATGAGACAACTCTACAGTAACATATTCTAACCAGAATTGTATTGGTTGGTGATTCATGTCTGTATAAAGGAACCTGTGTAAATCTTTTCTGGGTGTGCATGATCCTGGCATGAATACAGTCAAAATCTTGTTAAAGAGCAGCAAACTGCCACCATGCCTAACGTGATTTCCATTATTCAAGTGTAAATTATCAGTTGGATTGTGTCCTCTGTCAATACTCTGAACCTTTGGATTTCTTCTAAAGTTTGTACAGTATGTGTGCAAACTCATCATCAAATTGTAAATGTTAATATCAATATGGCTTCTTCCCCCTTCAGCTCTTAAACTAGTAATATACAAGCATACCCCTTTTGTTTTAGGTGGAAGTGGCCTATGTTATCTTGATCTCTTGGTATACTGTTCTCCAACATCTGCAGTTTTCTGGTGATTCATTCCAATCCTCTGCAGTACAAGGCATTCTGTTTGCTTTCTGTGCCAGTAATATACCTTCCTCTCTGTGGCAGCCTGTTACACATTCACCTTGTTAATGTTCGCATACTGAGGCATAGTTAAAAATTCATATGCTCTTCAGATGCCTCACAAGCTCTAGCAGTCTTGAAGGTTTTGTCTAGAGTTAATCTTCCATCAGTATTTTTTTTATTGTGGTGCCTTTGAAATAGATTCTACAAGAATCTTATCTTTAAGGATATCATCCCCATCTGCAGAAGGCACAATCTTGCATTAATAATTGAACTTGAATTACCTTTTTTATCTTTATAGATGCATTTTTCCTTGGGCTAATGTAATCTTCAGATGATTCAAATATGTCTGTTTGGCTCTTTCCTGTTTACTCCTGCGAACTGTTTACTAGAGACACATGCTCTGCAGTGAACCCCATTGTATTACAATAGGACTTCTTGGGGGAGCTGTATATCACTTCTCTGACATGGAAGGAGCTGGGTTCCCTGTAATATTTCCAGTCTCAAAATCCATGGGAGGCAGGCACAGTTCTTGCACTGGTCTGTGGGGAAAGTATCCCACTTTGAGACAATGTGTTATTTGTTGAATTTAAACTATAGGCTGAGATTATGGCAAGCCTCTCTCGGGCTTCTGAGGTTTCTTCAAGTACCATTCATGTACAGTATGTTTAGGTTACCTCTCCAGCTATAAATAAGTAAATTCTGCACTAAATACTGTATTCCATGGTGTGATTATAGACACCAGTATCACACATCAACCGCATCAAATGAAACTTTTCAACCTATGGGAAATCTGTGCAAAATATTGTTGTTATGTGCTGTCAAGATGCTTCTAACTTACGGCGACCCTACGAATGAGTGATCTGCAAAATGTCCTGTCCTCATTAGCCCTGCTCAGCTCTTGTAAACTCAAGCTTGTGGCTTCCTTTAGGTAGTCAGTCCATCTTATATTTGGTCCTCCTCTTTTCCTGTTGCTTTCCACTTTTCCCTGCATTATTTTCTTTTCCAGAGAATCCTTCTTTCTCATGAACTAACCAAAGTAGGACAGCCTCAGTTTCAACATTTTTACCTTCAGAGATAAATTGACTTCATTTGATATAGGACCTATTTGCATGCATCCCTGGAGGAAAGGTGTAAAGATATAAATGTAGGTAACAAATAAGTAAATAATTTTTCTTTACATTCTTCAGGTGCCGAGCTTGGTGCAGTGAAAACATGTGAACTATGTAAACAGAGCCTTACTGTAGATCTGGATGATTTTAATGTGAATGACTATTATAGGAATCATCAGCAGTCACGGGTAAGAAACAACAGGCACCTTGGTTAGTCTTCCTTTAATCGTTTCGCAGACAGGATGGCTAACTTGCATTGTACTGTATTCCACAGTAAACCTTTCAGCTTGCTTGAAAACCAGAAACTTCAAAAAAGAGATAAGCTTTATGTAGTTTTCATATTTAAACTATAATAGACTTCCCAACTCTGTTCTTTTTCTATAACTTGGATGTTGTTTTCTATAACTTGAACAAAGAAACTCATAGTTAAATGTAGAAATACAGAAGCAATGATTTGCATAGTTCATTAGACAAAGATGACACTGCAAAAACAGGCTGAATCTGGCCCTGCCCTTGTTTTGTCAGGGATTTCAGCATTTTTTTTCCAATTAAGGACAAACCATAGTAAGATCTTGTAACCTGCATCCTTGAACCCTGCCAGGGTAGGATTTTTGGAAAGCTGCTCCTCATACTGGAACAGAGAAAAAAGAGTGGATTGAGTGGTAGAATTACTGGAGGAAATTGGTGAAAACAAACCAACAGGCATAACGTCACTAAGTGTAAACTTGTGGTATACCCACTGTTTATTGTTGGCTGGAATATTTTGCAATATATAAAAAAGGCAATTCATAACAGTCTGAGAAGGCAACACAGGAGGCTCATATTTAGGAAACAGTACCGAGTCTTGGCTGGACTATCACAAAAAAAAACATATAACAGAGCTGGAAAGTTTATTTTTAGAAGTCCCACACCAAAATTTCTGCACTCAGATCAGCATCAGCAGCCTTACCTGTGTCCCCACCTATAAGGCCAATTAGAGTGGTGTGCATGAGAATTGGGAACTAATCTGTAATGGCCCATCCCCTCTGAAAATCTATTCCAGCTGATGTCTAGCAGATAGTATCAATACTACTAACATTTAGAAGGATCCAGACAGATTTGAACATTGGGCCCTACCCAGTAAGATGCAGTTCAATGACAGGAAAAGTAAGGTCCTGCACTTAGACAGGAGAAACCAGATGCACAGGTACAGGATAGGTGGTACCTGGCTTGACAGTAGTACCTGTGAGAGGGATTTAGGTGTCCTGGTGGACCACCACGTAAGATGAGTCAACAATGTGCTGCGGCTGCCAAGAAAGCCAACACAGTCCTAGGCTGCATTAACAGAGGGGCATCATCATGGGAAGTGATAGTGCCACTCTGTACCATGCTGGCGAGGCCACACTTTGAGTGCTGTGTCCAGTTCTGGTAATCTCAATCCAAAAAAAGATCTTGAGGCCCTGGAAGAGGTGCAGAGAAGAGCAACAAAGATGATAAGGGAACTGGAGGCTAAATCCAATGAAGAACGACTAAAAGAACTAAGTATGTTTAGCTTAACAAAGAGAAGACTGAGGGAAGATATGATAGCAGTCTTCCAATATCTGAAGGGTTGCCACAGGGAAGAGGGCATTGATTTATTCTCCATTGTACCTGAGGGTAGGGCAAGAACCAATGGGTGGAAATTCGTCAGAGGGAGATCCAACTGGATCCACTGGAAATAAGGAGGGATTTCATGACACTGAGAACCATTAAGCAGTGGAACAGTTTGCCTCCTGATGTTGTGGGTGCCCCATTGCTGGAGGTTTTCAAGAAAAGATTGGACAGCCATCTGTCCAGGATGGTATGAGGTCCAGGATAGTATGAGGTCTCCTGCCTTGAGCAGGGGGTTGGACTAGAACAGTGTTCCCCAACCTTGGGCCTCTAGATGTTCTTGGACTACAACTCCCAGAAGCCTTCACCACCACCTCTGTTGGCCAGGATTTCTGGGAGTTGAAGTCCATGAACATCTGGAGGCCCAAGGTTGGGGACCACAGGACTAGAAGACCTCCAAGGTCCCTTCCAACCCTATAATGATTCTATGATTCTATGAATACAGTCCTTCAGGTAACATCTATAAATGGAGCTGTTTAGCTTAGCATGTAACTTAAAGGTTAATTTAGATAAAACACTCAGCTCACATTTAGAAGTGGGGGTCCCCTAAGTGGTAAATGACATTTTTTTTCATAGCACATGCTTTCCTCATCCCCATATGTTGCCAGTTACTGTAAGTTGTTTACCCCCCCCCCCCATGATTTAGCAGTGTGTGTGGAGTAAACATGGGGTTCATTAGCAATCAAATTCACTGCCGTCTATCCTCCTGGATCCTGCACTTGAAAAAATAAATTTCTGGGAGACTGCGTGTATGCCCCTCCCCCGGTGCCTTCTGTACGGGGAAGAAGGTTGAACTGATAGCTAGTCTTTGTGTTAACCTACGTCTTCCTCATTCAGGAAAGAGAGGCTGATTTAGAGCAGAAGTATTCCTGCGCCCTTGAGTGATGCAATGTAAGTTTTTCCCTCAGATAGGTCCACATACCAGATGTGAGCCCAGGTGTGAGAGACTCTCACTTGTAAAACAGCATTGGGAGAAACTTTCATGCTGATCACTCTGTTCCCTGACTGAGTGTGTGAAGCTGTCCACCCTAAAGATTGTGTGTGCAACTCTGGAGTGATCCTAGATCTGGCACTGAATTTTGGCTGAGCTTTTGTCAGCTCCAGCAGATTACAGTTGCACCCCTTCCTGGATGCGAAGTCTCTGATAATGTTGGTTCAGATGCTGGTTCTCTCACAGATCTACTGTAATGCTCTCTATGTGGGGGCTTCCCTTGAATTTGACCCAGAAACTACAGCAGGTGTGGAATGCAGCTGATCAAGGCAGTAATGATTGATTTCTGGAGTGAGGAAATTTGATTATATATCTGCAGTCCTGGCTTGCCTGCATTGGCTACCTGTTGTGCCCTGGGCCAGGTTCAAGGTGTTAGTTTTAACATACAAAGCCCTTAATGGTTTAGGACCTTGCTACCTGTTGGAGCATCTCTCTTAGAGAAATGTTGGCCATTTCATTCAATCTTTCTTGGCCTCATTACTGCAGGTGGCCAGACCAAAGGAGGTAGTGGCCCCCACACTTTAGAATGGGTTCCCACTAGAGATCCATTAGGCCCGCTTCCTCCAGAGTTTTAAAAGGCAGCTTAAAAATACACTATTTAGGGAAGCCTTTAAGGATATTCTTGCCCTCCATAAACACACCTTTCAGCCCTGGGCCACCTGAAGGTTGTTGCCTTCCTTTTGTCTTTTTGAGTTTGTTTACTTGGTTTGTATTATCAGTTTGGTTTTTTTTTAATTCATTATGTGCGAGGTATGGTGGGAGGGGGTTAGGTTTTATACAATATTGTAATGACCGCCCAGAATGGTGGCCTCACTAAGCCTGCCAGCCAGCCAGCCTGAAAAAATAAATAAATAAAT